TTTGCTAATTACAAAGATAATAAAAAATCTGTAGTCAGCGAAACAAGGGTTTTACACATACAATATTTACAACTGTCGGACGAAAGAGTTTAAGTTTATGTTGTATTAGTACACTGGGATATAAATTCAAGATACTAGTATATTTATGTCACAAACGCGTATATAGTTTAAAATCACTACGCATGCACTCGCGCCTACGCTAATCTAGGGAGTTTGCTCACCATGCATAAATTATCATAATTAGACAGATAGACATGTCAAATAATGCTAACATAATGAGACAGACCATAATGATAAAATATAAAAATGTGAACATAATGATGACATAATGTAAAAATCTTAACAAAATGAAAAAACAATGTGAACATAATTATAAAATATTATAAAAATGTGAATATAATGATGAAATAAAGAAAAAATGAAAACATAATTTTAACAACGACAAAAATGTGAACATAGTGATAAAACAATATAAAAATGTGAACACAGTGATGAAATAAAAATATGCTAACACAATAAAAAATTTAACATAGCGATCGCGGCAGGACTCCAGAAGACGTACCTACACTTTATGCATTTTTTTTTAATTATGCTAATTTATTTTTGACGTAGCAGTTTCTGTGCTCATGCATATTTATTATTAGTGGGTCAATACATTCTAAAAGGGGCGACATATTATTTCGGGGAGAAGAGTTAGAAATGGGGAATTAGAAATCTTTTTTAGACCTATTTAGAGAGCAGCAATGATCCTAGTGTCTGGCAAAGGAATTGAACTCAGATCTTCTTGATCACTAAAAATGCAACATATTTCTATTATTGAGTTACAATTGTCAAAAAATTGCCAATTTTGTGTTTTTACTTGTGTAAACTATATGCATGCCATAACCCGTTAGAGTACATCTTGCGAATTGGATGTGTGTCATTTGCGTTGCCCATACCTGACCCGACCCTAACCCTAATGCCAAGACACGTTCCTGTTAATAATTATGTTGCCCATACCTGACCCGACCCTAACCCTAATGCCAAGACACGCACGTTCCTGTTAATAATTCCGTTGCCCATACCAGACCCGACCCTAACCCTAATGCCAAGACACGTTCCTGTTAATAATTATGTTGCCCATACCTGACCCGACCCTAACCCTAATGCCAAGACACGCACGTTCCTGTTAATAATTCCGTTGCCCATACCAGACCCGACCCTAACCCTAATGCCAAGACACGTTCCTGTTAATAATTCCGTTGTCCATACCAGACCCGACCCTAACCCTAATGCCAAGACACGTTCCTGTTAATAATTATGTTGCCCATACCTGACCCGACACTAACCCTAATGACAAAACACATTCATGTTAATAATTATGTTGCCCATACCTGACCCAACCCTAACCCTAATGCCAAGACACTTTCCTGTTAATAATTGCTCAATAATGATACTCTGTTGTGCACTGTCTGCAGGTAACTTGCATTGATGTCAACTGATTAAACAAGTCGCGTTTAAGTAATTTCCACTATTAACAAGTGGTTAAATTGTGACAATAAATGTGTGGACATGTATATTTGAGACTTATTTTGGTGCAGACAACTTTCGTTTAATAATTTTACACCATTACAAGTTGTTGAATTGAGAGAATAAATATATGTCAAATATTTGAGACTTATTTTAGTGTAGACAACTCTCGTTTAATAATTTTACACCATTACAAGTTGTTAAATTGAGAGAATAAATGTATGGACAAATATTTGAGACTTATTTTGGTGTAGACAAGTCGCGTTTAATTAATTCCCACAAGTTGTTAAATTGAGAGAATAAATGTGTCGCATATATTTGATACTTAATTAGGTGTAAGAACTCGCGTTTGATCAACTTCCACTGTTGCAAGTTGTTAAAATAATGAAATAAATATACTGGTATCTTTGGATATTTGATTTAATTGTGAAACTTTCTAAGAAAATATTAACTGCTGACTTTGAACCCTCAATCAACAATTCCGCAGACACAACAGAAAATGTTCGTCTGTTGCCTGAATTGTTTTTGTAATATAGGGAAGGCCATCGACAAAACTTACCTTGACTTGGGTCTTCTGTTTATCTCTTGTCACAATCTGGAAACTGTTGAACAAATTGAGCGTCGTCCATTTTAAATTTTACTTTTTATTTTTTCGCGACGTTCTTTGTTTACTTGTTACGGTTTGAGGGATTTCAGTTTATTTGTCTTACGTTTTTATAGTAGCTCTCAGCGGGACTCGAACTCACTGCCCTTTCAAGCTAATTTTGTTTTATCGCTACGCCGTAATATGCAACCACTTCCCCGTTTTATTGTGATTTTGTGAGTGTTTAATGATGTTTTTTCCTCACCCGTCACGCCATGATCCAATTTCAACCACACGGCCATTTTGCAACGAATTGCGTGACCCTTGGCGTGACCCGACTGACTACCAGTATATGATCGTTCTGTTCAACTGTTAAGCTAGGATTTATTACCGTTATTATGATTATATTGTCACGTGATTTGTTTTACCTTATGTGTAATGTATTAAGTATCTTTATTATAATTTGTATATACCAATTCGTATATGCCGAGGAAACGACCCCGATTGAAGGTCATTTATTTTGTGACGTCACCAATTCGTGTGTAGGTACGGCTTCGAGAACCGGGCCGCGATGGCCATTGGAAATTTTCCTTTCCTCAAACCAAGGGAAGTAGGCAAAAGGGCCTGGGTTAATACAATAATAATAATACATGAATATTTTTCTTCTTAGATAAAATACGTTATTAGTAACATTCCAGAAACGATAAAACAGTACTACGAGCATTACCGTCATTGGTAACATGTTATGACTCGAACTCATACATGTATTGGTTTTGCGTCTTGTCTAGACTGGCGCAGTCGGGCGATTAATTTGTTTTTGTAGTTTAAATAAAATTAAATAAATTGCGAAACGGGGGTGTTAGCGCAAAATCCCTTGTAACTGCGAAATCACCCCGACTGGTTTATTCTGCATGGCCCTCTATCGACACTGCAGGAACCCGTCGTTT